TTGGCTGTAAATAGGTAGCGGGGCTGGTCCTGAGGAAGATCCTGCAGGCCGGAGCCTCGCGACGGCGTCTTCCACGGGCTGCGCCGAGCGGCCCCCAGCGGCGGCGGCGGCGGCTGCGGCTTGTCGTCCCTTCAATTATCAGCTGAGCCGCAGCACCGCGCCGCCGTGCGCCTCCGCCCGCGCCGCCTCCCTCCCCGCCCGCTCGGCTCCAGCTGGGGACTACTTTGCCCTGAGGCTCCGGCCTGCAGGATCTTCCGCAGGACCAGCCCCGCTACCTATTTACAGCCCAACATATCGCCCCTCCCTCCCCGGCGCTCGGCGCCGCTCGGCGAGCAGCGTCCAGTCTCCTTCCGATCCCTTCAAGGGACCAGGAAGGGGACTGTGGCACTCCACTTGGTATCCCTCCGCTGGGGTCACCCCCGCCCCTCCGCGCTAGCAGGAACTAAATTCCACTTCGGGTCACCCCGGGACCTGATTGTAAAAAATGCACAAAGCAGGGTTCCTCGTGACCCCTGGTCAAGGAAACCACCACCCCCAAGTTAAAACCCCCAGTGCCAACTCAAAAAGCGGGCTTCGCTTTAAACTGGGGCTGCGGCCCCCTGACCCCTGTCAAGCCCCGCCCCTTCCTGGTTGTCTTAGCGACGGCGGTGGCGTCCCAAGATGGCGTCGTGGCTGCCGGAGACTCTGTTTGAAATTGTAGGACAAGGCCCGGCGCCGAGCAAAGACTATTACCAGTTGTTGATCACTCGGACTCAGGCAAGTGCGAGCCACGGGTTCCTGTGTCTCCTGACCCCCTTCCCCGCCCGGCCGGGCCTCGCGATGCGGCCCGCTCCAGGCAAACAGCCACCGTGGCCTGCCGGAAGCGCCGCGTCTCAGCTCACAGCGAGAGATCTCCCCTCGTCACCTCTGCTCGGCGGCCTGAGAGTCGGTTCTCTCCCCGAGGCCGGCTCGTCATTGGCGAGCCTTCCTTGCCTCCCCCAACCCAATGTCGACCGCTTCCCTTCCTACCTCCCGGCTTCCTACCCGCTGCGTTCCCTCCGCGCGCCAGAGAAAAACAGGCGTCCCTGCTTGCGTGCCTCCTCACCTCAGCGTGGGAAGGAGGGAAAGAAAGACTCAGCCAAGTGTCCCAAGGAGGAGCCGGCAGGGGGAGAAAGGGACGGTCTCTTCCAGGGTAGGACTTAATCCTGGGGGATTTTTTTTTTTTTTTAAGAACCTCAAGGTGGCCTCTACAATTACCACATCAAAATTCCTCTTTCTAACAGGAATGACTGACTGAACGTTCTTTCCTTACCTTGCTGGAGCCCCTTCTATCCCTTTGAAAGTGGAGGGGGGTACAACAAAAATGTTTCAGCTGCTCTGCTCATCAGCCCCACCCATAATGACATCTGCTCCACAACAATAAGAATGAGGATTATGTTATCGCTGGAGTAAAGTAACCCCGGGGGCCTTTTTTTTTTCCCTCCAAGTGTTTTGGTTGTCAAGGGTTTGGATAATGTATTGTGCCATGAGATACTCTGGGTGATCTGGGCCTCCACTGAGAACGCTGCAGATTCCTGGCTGAGCTTATCCCAGTCATTAAGCTGTTCATGCACCCCAAGTTTTAATAGGCCATATTCCTATAAAATTACGTTTAAAAACTTGTATTCCGTTGGGTCGTGGTGTAGATTATCCCATCTATCTTTGTTTCAGGAGCCCTCAAACAAAAGAGTAGTGAATTAATATTTCTTTTAACCTGTAAAACAGTAATGATGTGTGCATTGTACCTAATAATACTGCAAATGTAATAGCCTGTCCGTTTTTAATTATTTTAACTTCTTAAGAATTTGACAGTTAAGATTTTGAAGGTTTTGGTTGGATTTATATGTGAAGTTGGTTTTGGTTTGGTTTGGTTTCTTTGTTTATGGTTTCTGACAGGGTCTCACTATTCACTATATAGCCCTGAATGTCTATATATGTATACCAAGCTGGCCCTGAACTTAAAGAAATCCACCTCCTCTGCCTCTTGAGTTAGACATTGCACCCACCAAGGTGAGGGTTTTGTTTGTCTCTTTGTTTGTTTTGTTTTTTAAATATTGTTTTATGTACATTGGTGTTTTGCCTACATGTATGTCTGTGTGAGGGTTTCAGATCTTGGAGTTAGAGGCAGTTATGAGCTGCCATGTAGGTGCTGGAATTTGAACCCAGGTCCTCTGGAAGAGCAATTAGTGCTCTTAACCACTGAGCCATCTCTCCAGCCCCAAAGTGAGGGTTTTGTTGGGTGATTTGGTGTTGTGTTTTGTTTGGTGTTAATTTATTTTTCCTTTTCTCTTTGGCTCTGTGAGGGGTAGAACCCAATTTTACTACTGAGCCAGATCTCTCCCACCCGAATTAACTTTAAGATCTACAATCCTAATTAATACTTCACTCTTTGTATGACTGACCTCAGACATAGTAGTCTTTTGAAATTCTGTTTTCCATTTTCATCTATTGCAAGTAAGTTCAAATGCTAATGATTTTTAGTCTATAGTCTTTACTATATCTTTAAAATTATTCTTTTGAACATTTTTTCCTTGGAGGTCTGGTGTCACAGGAGAGTTTCTCTCCTTACCCTCCCTCAACCCCACCCCCAGTGTCTTAAGCCTCAGTAATTGAGAATATCTGTCTACATACCATCCTCTAATTAATATGCTATATGAAAACTTCCCAAAATATTCTTAACTTTTGTTTTCAATTTTAAGACAGAGTATCCTGTGGCCCAGACTGTCTTGAACTCCTGATCTTTCTGCCTCTGCCTCCTAAGGACTGGGATTATTATAGGAATGAACCACAATACCTGACATTCTTATAAGAAGAAGAAGAAAGGGAGATGGGAAGGAAAGAAAGAAAGAAATCCCTTTTTCATTAACAGATAAACCACTGTTCTTTAAACTAGGAATAGTGGTACAGACCTTTACTGCAGCACTGGAGAGGCAGAGGCCGGAGAATCTCCAAGTTCAAGGCAAGTCTGGTCTACATAGGGAGTTACAGGCCAGCAAGGGATACACTGTGAAGTCTTGTCTCAAAAACTAGTAAGTAAAATGTTTTTAAAGGACTCTTATTTGGGGCCATATTTTTTTTATCACTCACAGGTAAAATCCTTCTAAAGATCTAGTCCAGTTTCATTGTCAAATACACTACAGTTCTACAAGGAAGAGTTCATTTCAAATCTGATTGAGTTGACCTCTTTTCAAAATAAAATTTGTTGTAAAAAAATAAGTGAAAGGGGTCTGGAGAGATGGCTCAACAGTTCAGAGCACTGACTGCTCTTCCAGAGGACCCAGGTTCAATTTCTAGCACCCACATGGCAGTTGTCTATAACTCCAGCTTCCAGGGGACAGACACCCATGGCAATAACCAATACACATAAAATAAAAATAAATATATTTTTAAAGTCTTATATTAAAAAAGTCTAAAATGATTTTAGTCTTGAAATATGTCTAAGGACAGGATGATTTTTCTAAGTCTACATACAGGAAACGGAATACTTAGTAAGAGGTAGCCTGGCATAAGTATTTAAAAACTGTTCTATACACCACTCTCTCTGGAGATTTTTTTTTTTTTTTGAGAGGCGGTGGTGATACATGTTTTTAATACTAGTCTGCAGGACCTCAGGAGACAGTCTGAGAGATCTTTATGAGTTTGAGGCCAGCCAGGACCACAAAAAGAAAAAAACAAAAGCCTTCTCTCAAAAAACAACCAAAAAAAACTTTTTTTTCTTGCCAGGTATAGTGGCAAACTTTGTGTAATCCCAGAGTCTGGTAGACAGAAGCAAGACTATTGAAAATTCAAGGCCAGCCTGGTCTACATAGCAGTTCCAGGA